TCGCACCGGGGGGCTATGTTGCACGTTTTGGACTCCCAGGAGACTAGGGAGAAGGAAGTGACGTCAACGATGCTCGCTGGATGTTGATTGGTGTAGTCGCTGATGACAGTATCTGCAGAAGTTGCCAAGACACGTTCATTCACACCTACGTCACTTCCTTCTCCCTAGTCTTCTGGGAGTCCAAAACGTGCAACATAGCCCCCCTGTGTCGAGCACAGGCTCCAAGTCACTCGGGCAAAACTATCCGAGGCTTGCGGACATGTGTGAATACAATCCTTTGAAGATATTCTGAGGTAAGCATAGCTAGGACAAATCTGACACCTGCTGTCTGCAGCATGCGTACGCATAACAGTGGGCATGTGGGCATATCACATTGCAGAGGCTAATTGGTAAGCACAGCGAGGACGACCCTTGACATCAACCAATTCGTTCACACACGTGCCCAGTCGTCGCTGCAGGTGAGGACGATGACAGTAGATGGCCAGTCGGCTTGTGGAATATTTTCTCACTGCCCGCTTCCTTCGCTAAATTTGTAACAATCGCTACGTCACTTCGCGTCACTCCACTGTGGATGTACGAGTGCGTGCACGCTGCCCGCGGACATGCTTCAGCCCCTCGAGTGATCGCGCAAAAAAAAAAAAAAAAAGCACTGGTCGAAGCAGCTGCGTTCACGCTTTAGTACCGTTTCCAGTGGAGCACAAAAAAGCTGACATCGGGTATAGATCAATTTCGCCGCAGGGTTACAGGCTTGACAATGCACTTCTCCATTTCGACTAGCTGCGGGGAGCGCGATTGATTCTTGCAGAGGCGTGACAGTGTATATGCAAAGCACAATTCAGACGTGCACTCGCGGTCCAGATCACCGCTTGTGCTCCGTTGGCGTCTCATACGTACCTGGCGCGATTCCTGTTGAGGCCAGCAACGGGCGAATGATGTTACACCCGTGAATAATGCTGCCAAGCGGCGAGTTGGGCATCGCTGTAGGGCAGACTACACAACACCGCAGCGGCGCGTCGTTCGAATGAAATAAAACATTAGCTACACTGGACGTTTTAGCGAAAGCCAAACGAGCTGGGTTTATTTCCAGGCCGTAAATGACTTCGGAACGCTGGCAGCGGTCACGGGTCCTTAGGCCTAAACACACCCTTCCGCCCTGGAGTACGCGAACGTTACGGCAGAAAGCATAAAACGGCCGTAGCGTAGCTGCCCAGTCAGCATTGAGACCTGTGCGCGTATGTTATCCAGTTTCACACTAACGATACCTTCCAATATCTAGGACTGCACCAATGCACTTTTTCGACTGGGGCGTGGAGTACTCCAAAACAAAACGGCAGGGCGTCTGCTCGCGTCGGCGGTAGCGGGGGGGAGGGGGGCTGCACGCAGCTTAGAACAGCCCGTAGCGCGCGCGTACCACGTGACTGCGCCAGCCAATCGCGGTATTCTTCCCTCCTCCCTTTCCTCCTCTCCCTCTTTCTTTTCTCTCTCGCGGGGCTTTGCCGTGGGGGGTCTCACAATACGCAAGAAGGGAGAGGAGCCCGGTAGAGGCCAATGTGCAGCCCCCTGCGCTGCCATCTCGGAGGCGCATGTGCAGAATTCTGTGCGATTATTTTTAACGCTTCGCCCAGGCGCGTGAACTGCCCGTGGCGCCGCTGCGGAACCGCACGTGCGCACTGCGCGGTTCCGCTCTGGTGTTATCTGTATGACGTCACTTCCGTGACCAAGATTTTGTGACATCCGACCTCCTAACTTTGCATTCCCTTCTAAGCGCGGGGAAAAACGAAGTTCTATGTCAAAAAAAGATCGAGGTACACCTAAGCATTCCTAATGAGTTGTGAATGCGAAAGCATGCAAGCCGCTCGTCCGCTCCCTTTTCGTTGCCGTTCGGCGCGTGTGCTCCCCTGGTGACCTTGAACGCTCCGCGCCAATGGACACACAGCGCCATGGGGTGAGCGGTCATAGAAACTAACTGACGAGTGCAGCGGCCAATGGAAGCCCCGTCGACGCGCGCCAGCCAATGGAACCAAAGGAAACTATCTGCCGTTTTCGCGCTTCAGACTGGTGACGTCAGCTCGCCCCATAAGACCAGTTAATGCTTTCGCATTAAAATAGGCACAGCGAGCAAGCGGGCGGACGAGCGAGAGGGCAAACGGGCGAAAGTTACGAATAAAGTCACTGGACCCCGATCCAGTGACTTTAGTTACGAAGAGCGATTCTGAGGATGCGGGAAAGCCGTCGGGAAGGCAAGCTCTTGTGCAACTTTCTTGTATCGCGCGTACCCGCGTGCGTCGTTCGTGCGCGGCGTGCTATCAAGCTGCGTTGAGACGGCGTTGCTGCGTGGCGTGGGCGACACCGCGAAAAGACAGAGCTCGAAATAGGATGTTTCACAGACGCCTGTGTGCAGCAGTCAAGCAAAGCTTTATTTATCCATTGCCTTTGTCCCAAACGTCGCACGATCTTACCAACCGCGGTCGCGACGTTTTGGGACGAAGGACCGGGTTCGCGGTGACCTTATTTCGGTTCGGGTTCGAACGGACTTACTTTTTTTGTAAGCAAAGCAATTTTTTTTTCTTTTTCTGGTATCGTTATTGTTTTCCTATCGCACGAACATACTCTGATTTTTGAGGTCGCAAAAAAACAGTACGAGCTAAAAAGAAAAAAAGTCATTTTCCTTTTTTGTTTTACTTTGTCAAGGACATCCTCCAACTCTTGGCGGATCCCGCGGGGTCCGCGCTGGGGTATTTGTAAGGGTGGGCAATCACTTGGTGCCTTTTTTTTTCTTTCTAAATTGGTATTTGCCCAAAAAATTGAGTGGGCGATCACTGGGGTATGGGCGATGACTCGAGATATTACAGTAAGTCTTTTCTGTTTGTGATTGGTTCAGCGATGACAGAACACATAAAGAACGACGAACACCATGTTGGTGCACTTTTGACTGTCTGAATGAACCAATCAGCTGCTAGCAGGGGCTCCGTCTGGACCTAAGATGAAACGTAGTAAAGATGTTGAATGGATGCCATATTTGAGCGCGTTCTTGACACCGCTTGCTCAGGAGATTCGTTACTTATTGCCTGCTGAGGAAGGCAATTTTACTGGTATGTCTGAAGTAGCAGCGAGTCTTAAAACGAATCGCAGTGTGGATGCTCTCGAACGTCGAGCGCGGTGGTACTATGTTGCAGCGGATATGGTGGGAATCGTAAAGAGCAACTCCGCTCAATTCCGAAAATATCGCGATAATGAGTGAGATTAAAAAGCACTAATAAAAGGCGCTATATCGTTTGCTTCGTGAGAATAGGGACATACTTTAAACGAGCACAAATCGAAACCGAGATTTCGGCTCCGTCTGGCAACATTGGCCTCGGGCCGCCAAGAACACGGCTATGACGTGGTACGAGGTGTCACGTGATCCTCCACACAACGACGGGCGGAATGATAGGGACGGGTGTGTGCCAGATGCAAGAGTCGTCTGCACTAACGTCCCTGGATATTTTTTTCGTGAAAAACATCGAGGGACTTTAGTCTGCATCACACTCGTTTTAATGCCTACAACATTCGACGGCGTCTGCACAACTGCGGCATCAGTCTACGCACGTCGTGTGAACGAAACGGTGAGACGACGACGGCCGTACGGTTCCCAAGAAGCGCGCCGGGCAGGCGCGTACGCCAATCATGTGGACATCGCTGAGCCCCGAGAGGAAAAGTTGCTGACGTCACCCGGTACGCATGACCAGAGTGGTTTAACACCAACAAGGGCGAACTGCTTGCATTTTTAGGGTTATGATGATAATGCAATTGTATGCAGCAAAGGTGCAAGCGAGCTGGACAAGAATGACGAAAATATTCCCTGGAGAAGGGGAACAAGAGGGACAAAGGACAAACACAAAACTCCAAACACAACTAGGTGACTGGTGCGCGACCGAAAAAAAATCCGACTGTTGCGCGACCGAAAAAAATCTGACTGGTGGCAGCTGATAAAACCTGTTTGCGCTACGGACATCTAATTCCTGGTTAGCTCAGTCGCGCCAGTCACCAAGCTGTGTGTGTCCTTTTTCCCGCTTGTTCCGCCTCTACAGGGATTATTTTCGTCATTCTTGTCTAGCTCGCTCGCACCCTTGCATTTAATTGCATTGTCATCAATGAAGCGGAGTTGCTCTTTAATGGTTCATTTTTGCTGGCTTTTATACCAACGAATAAATTCGAATATTAGGAAGTGACTTTGCTGCGACAATGGGGACACAAAATGGCTGTCCAAAGACGCCCATAAGGGTCCTCGAGAAAACAAGAGGGGAAGGAGAATGGTAATGAATGTGATGATGAAGACGGGGCGTACGCCATCTGTCGGCATCACTTCTCACTACGCGTCCATCGTCTGCGAAGTGGCGGACTAGATTTCCCAAAACAAATTTGTTTTTTGTTGTTTTTTAAGACGCAAGTTCATTTTTGGCCTTTTTCACTGTAAACTTCCACCACCTGCTTGCACTTTTGTAGTAAACCGCAGCGCGATACCCTGAAAAACCGATTTTTGCGGGCCGTCAAGCGCTAGTTTACGTTCCGGAATTCGTTTTCCCATCCTCCGTTTCCAAGATGGCCGCCCCGAGATCACAGGTATCATCGAGAGGTGAAACTATAGCATCGTATGTACGCCATATCCTCTCTGATCTTTATAAATAGGACTATACATAAACATTTTAGCACGCATAGCACAACTGGGAAGTTTAAGTTTCTTTGGCATACGCAATGGGTGCACCGTATATGTACCCTGAAAGCACGTTCTTAGCTAACATGTAGACAAGAAAGCCTAAAGTGCATAATTTTCTTACCTCTCAAAAGAAGGCCACCTAGGGCAGACTGGACGCGAATGCAGCAGCGTTAGCGTTTAGTTGGATCTCGTGTACAATCAGTGAAAACACGAGACTACGGTAGCCTTCTTTAGTGACGAAGGAAAATTCAGCGCTTAGGCTTTCTTATCTATGAGCTGTTAGCGTTTTGCTTCGCTCGGGAAAACAAAACAAAAACGCGACAGAAGTTGCATCACCGCGCGACCAGGCACGTGACGGGATGCTGCGTCACTGTTCGTGGCTGGCACCGTTGAAGAGGTAGCGGTACACGGCCTGGTAGTGCACCACCGTGGCGGCGTTCACGAACAGGTGCCAGATGGCGTGGGCGAACGGCAGACGGCCGTCCATCTTGAAGAAGAGCACGCCGACCACATAGATGATGCCGCCGAAGTACAGTTCCTTGATGCCCGTCGGAGGCCTCTGCGAGGTTCCAGCACGCGTCACGCGGGGTTACTGCACTGAACTAGGGAAGAACATCCGCCATCTTGCTTTTGTGAACCGCTCATGGGGAAGATGGTCGAATCCACCATGGATGGCCACCGAATTTCTGTGGCATTTCAGAAGTGAAGAGTGTTCGTGCACAGCTTTGATAAAAAAAAAAAAAAAAAATGATGTTTTTTTCTCGCAAAAAAAAAAAAAAAAAAAAAATTAAAAACAAGTTTTTTTTTTATTTGTTTTTAAGGAAGGAAGTGTGAGCTGGAAATATCTTTGCGATACCTTCGGTGTTTCACAAAGCATGCTATGTAGTCTAAGTCTTCATTTTAGACGTGCTGCACACCGGACCGGTCGCATTACAACAGCGGCACCGTAAAACTCAAATTCCTTACCATTGAGAATGTTGCAGACGCCGGCACCATAGCAGATACAATGTAGATGAACACTTCGAGTGTCTTGTACCTGCGGCGACGGGACACAAACACACAATACCATAAAAATTGTTGTTCGGGGCATTACCCGTACGAATGGGTGGCTCCATGACTTCGTCTCTAAAGTGTTGGCATGTACTTACAATGGGCTGTAGACAAGAAGCCCGACAATTTAGTGAGTTTGAGACAAAGCGTTTTGCCATATTATGCCGTAAAATAGAGTTCGTATACACGTTTGCTCGCAATCGAGCTCTGAAAAGTAACAAAGTTTGGCTATCGCGGGTTGGGAAAGCGCCCTGCAAGTGCGTGAGGCGGGCGATTAGCACGAAACTAACGGCGTACGTGGGTCATACTGAACTTCCAAATTTAGACGTGTACATACAGAGGGTAACCATTTTGTTCTTAGCCCGAGACTGAGGCAGGAAAAGAGGAAAGTTTCAAAGTAGAAGAAAAATGAACAGTTCAGGACACGTCTCTAACAGAGCTAAAGACCAACTATATTTGGTCACCCCCTTGTATACACTCCACGAACTTCACCACAGAACCTTCTCGACCTCCAAAGCCAAAAGATAACAAAGGTCCCATCTCTTTACACCACAATTGTCAAACGACCTTGACGTTTTCCATAAAGCAACACACCTAGCTCCCCTCTCCCGGAAGATAATTGACTGAACCTTCGTCTTCGCGTGGTTCTTTCTGCGCGCACTGGAGCGCTCTTTCCAGAGCGCGCGAAATCGGGTGGTTGAAAGAGAGTGCTGTGGCCTGATCGGGTGGTTCATTCCGAGGGCGCCTCTCCCTCTCAGAGCGCTCTCTGGCACTCCGTCTGTAGCCGTCGGAGTGCGGAGCGGCGCAGGCGTCACGTGGCAGCTGGACGGTGATCACGTGGTTCTGTTGACGATGGCCGGCAGTGGTCTGTGGTGGTCTGCGGGGTCCGGCATGACGGTGCATTCGACGGTGCGAGGATTACAACGGACGGGACGACATTCGTTTGCGCCCGTAACAGGAAAAGCCGACACAACGCGATGAGTTGACAACTGTTTCCAAGCGTTGGCTTTCGTTCCGTTCTGCAAAAATCAATTCGCATACTGTTATTTTCTTTCTTTTTTTTACATGCCGATGAGTAAAACAATGTACGTCAAAACCGTTATTTCATCACGTTGCGAGCGTAAGTTTTGCTCAATCGTCCACCGAAACGCTGTAAGATCGTGTTGTTTTTAATGCATTATCAGTGTCAAGGAATATTAATTCCGTGACTGGTCTGAGAATCTCGGAGCGCCCTGAAGCCAGCAGTTGTGATCGGCTGAAAAGGATCCCGAGTAGCTCTGGCGGCGGGGAGGGGTCGCTCTGCTGAATCGAGGTCAGAGGGCAGAGGCGACCACCCGAATTCACCGTAGAGGTGTCCTCGACTGTTCATTTTTCTTCTACTTTGAAACTTTCCTCTTTTCCTGCCTCAGTCTCGGGCTAAGAACAAAATGGTTCACATCCACCAGCTCGCCTGGGCAATCACTATATTATCATACAGAGGGTGTTTGCGAGTATCGCACGGTGCGCTTGGAAGTATGGGGTCAAGAATTTCGCATTTGACAACAATAATGATCGATAGATCATTTGTTGTGCCCCCCTATGTAATGCCCCCCTATGTAATACCCTCTCACGAGGGCCTTTAGGGGTAATATGAATAAAAATAAATAAATAAATAGATCACGCCACCTTTTGGCTGAGTGAAATGACATCATTAATGGTTTTTTTTTCACTTTTTATATGGGAGTACAATAGCGAGTTTTAGTGGACCGTGTTTTCCCTTCCGCTACGCCCCTACGCTACCCGGAACTCTACAGCCAATTAGGGAGTTGTAGTAGATCGTTTTTCTCCTCCGCTACGGTATCCCCGAAGAAAACGCCGCAGCTGCGCATGCGCGCCGCCAGCCTAGTCTGCGTAGTTCAAGGTCTTGTGGCGGATTACGGAGCGCTATGCGGGTGCTTAGCGGGCTGCGGAAACGGTCTACTACAATTCCCGAATGCCATCGGCGCAGGCGCAGTGGTGGTTTCTTCGTTGCCGGGGGGGGGGGGGGGGGGGGGGGGGGGGGACGCGGTTTATTAAGACTCCCTACTAACCGCCCTTGTGCTACGGTACGTCCGTTTCTGTTGATACGTTAATTTGCGACATTTTTTTTTTTTTTTAAGCAAACGCAGCGTCACTCTAGCAAACAGCCAGTGGTTGAGCTTTGGCGGCCTTACTTCTCGTGAAAGATGTTCTGGTAGGCGATGCCTAAAATACACATGAGCCAGACGAGGTAGAGCTGCTTTTGGCCCCACGCGCTGTATTCCCGCAGTAGTAGCCTGAAACAGAGAGCTTCGTTTTGACAAAGAAGCGACAATCGTGCCTTTCGGATCCCGCAATGCTATACCGCAGAAAGCAAAAACAATTCGAAGGAAAAAAAAAAAAAACGCGTTTCGGGCACGAGTCGCGCATAACACGAGTACGACCGCCGCTGCGTCGTTTATTGTCACAGAAGCTGCGCTGACTGTGCTTGCGTAGTAACCCATTTTGCATCGAGCAAAGCGTCGACGGATGCGCCGGCCATTCGACAGCTAGTTCCACCACCGTGGCTTCGCGTCGAGGGCATGAGTTGGCGCATTGTAATTGAGTAGTGCTGTTGGCATTAGATGGAGAAATGCACATAAACTCAAAACAAAATGGAGGCATTTTAGTTTTCATTTGTGCGTCGAAATACGTAACCGCTTATACGAGAATCATATAATCACTCTCCCTGAGGGATCTGTAAATACTGCCTTGAAAAAAAAAAAAAAACTTTGATTACAAGAGGACGGTGTCGCTAAGTTTGGGCTTATTTGGGACCCCCGGCGTTATGCCACAACTAACATTTAAGTGTTCCCGCGCTTGGAAGCCAAGTCGACTTGAAAGCCAAGTCGACAAAAAAAAAAAAAAAAAGAATTTTTTTGCGTTCATTTTTTTTTCGAGTTGTTGCCGTGAGCTTCCTTAGCATTCATTTCACAACATGAAACGTCTTGTTACCTGTCAGGAACAAGTTCTACTGCCTATCAGTGTTGCCAGTAGAACCTCAGACCAAATTCAATAACTTCGCGAAGACGAATAAGGAGTAATCACTGGCGGCCGTTGCTATGTGCGCGACTGCTGATCGGGTGCGGAAGAGGAGCTTCCAGTTCTTTTGCAACGTTGCCCACAACTATGGCGTCCGGTGAATTCTCCCATGACCGACCTTCAGTTTTTATTTCCTTTTAATTTGTTCACTTCATGATTACCACAGCAGGACAGTTCATTATCCTACTCGATTCCACTGTGCCTCTCTCCCCAGGCCTTTGTGGAGGCTCGTAGACGCCCGTTTCGATCACTGCCTCGGCACCTCGGTAAGACTAGAGAAGGTCGGGAATGGCGGCTGGAATCTGGCACGTGTTTAAAGCTTCTTAACTCCGTTCATGCTTTAGCTGAGCGTGGTGGTATGTGCGTTCGGCGGAACAGTGAGTCGCCTCCCTTTTATCACTGCCCTGAGCCTTCGCTCTCTGCGTTTGGGTATTGGCTGGAGCGAGATCACGTGGCGAATGATAAACGTACGACTCGTTCAACGAGCACGGAGCTTCCTCCGGGCTCAACGCCCCCGAAAGATAGAAGCATTGCAGATGAGGGAAATGTCCGTTTGACCCACCATGGAGTGTATGCCGACGCGATAAAGATGTAGATGGCAGCACGGTCGCAGCGATGCATGATCTCCTTGAGTAACCTGCGAGGGAGTTCGGTTGGTTTATCTCTGGGACCCGTGGCATTCGATCAGTTCGGTCGTTCAAGAACCTAGACACACATAGCTTATCCCCAAAGCGTCTATCCGATGCAATCGTTTATGCAATCGCTTGGCCGTTCAGACCGGTGTGTCAGCTTACCGACATACTCGGCCATACCTTAGCTCCTCTTAAAACGGTCCAAGAGCGAGAGGGTCCCTACTGGCGAATCCAAGGCCTGGAGCTTGCCATGTCATCTCGAGCTTTGAATAGCGCAGTGCGCGATAGCAAGAACGCGTGTATGTATTGCGATTCTGGATCGACTGGACTGGCTCGTGGTGTTTGCAAGGTTCACTTCACGGTATCCAGTCACGTAGCTAATTTCATTTAATCGCCGATTCCTAATATTAACCCCAACAGATCACGGGGATTTCGGTACGTTTTCAGGTCATTATACATTATAATTAGGGTTCCGCGTTATCGTTTTTTTATTTTTTCAATATTTGGCGTACTTCTTTCGTTGTTATTTTAAAATTCAGTTTTTTTTTGGGGGGGAGTATATTTATGCCCACAAAAGTTTACAGTCTTTTTTCGGTGAACATGAAATAAACACCAACGGACACGGATCGGATGATCCTTGTAGGCCTGACATTTGTGATCACTCAAAGAATAACGGCACAGATACATTGAAAAAGTAATGAACACTTTTGGCGAGTGTATGTAACTGTAAAAGAAACAAGAAAAAAAAAACAGAAAAAAAAAAACAGACAAGTCAGATATGAAGTCTATGCCCAAAAAACATGGAACTTCACCTTCTGTACATCAGGATTACACGTGATCTTATTACAGTAAACACAGATGAACTTTCCCAGGTTGTACACAATAACGGACACTGGCAGGCTGAGGAGGTGAAGCGCTGCCTGAGCCAAAATCGGCCAATCAACCAAATCTGACCGCCAAAATAGACGCTGCGACGTTTTAAAGCACAACACAATATGCAGAGCTTGCACCAAGTCAGTCTTCCTTACAACGAGTTTGGAAACACGCTCGTACATGGCGAAGTCATGGGGCATTTCGGACTTGACGTTCCGATCGATGATGCGCACATTGAACCATAACGTTGTGATGGCATCCGTGTATCCCCATACATTCGGACACGCTTCGATAGACACTGTCGTTCCACGTTTTCGCCACGGCTCTGCGGTACGACTGGAAGGGCAAAGTGTCCTTTTTCGGTTAACACCGAATTTTAGAAAATGCCAACCGGCATTTTTAGCCGTTTTAGACGCCACAACTCTGCCTGACACCCCGGAACGTCCCAGGAAAAACTATGCCAAACCCATTTTCTTAAAAAAAAAGTGTTTATTGAGTAGTTTTATTTCTAATCTTTAGAGAAAAAACATAGCGCTTGACACCCCTTGAGGTAGCAGGGCATCGCCAAGAAATAATTATACCCGTTCTCACACCAAGAAAAACAATTTGCGCATTATTCGCCCGCTGCGCGAAGTATAGTTCTTAAAAAAATATTGGTTGTTTGTTGAAGGAAGAAAGGATGCTTTCAACGTTTAAAACGTGTACGTCTCGATAAAATAATATCAGACTAATCTAAGGTGCACCCAGATATATCTTAATTCAACGCAAGAAAGGGACACTTTTTTTTTTTAGTTTATGACGTTTTTAGTTTAGGACATTGCGACGATCATATTTCAAGCCTGGATCGAGTGGCGTGGAACGACCACCTTTCAGCTGGAGGCGAACTCGGCGGGGGGAGAGGTGCGGAGGCCGTAATTGCAATGTCCCACCTGAGCTTGCCGATGAAGTGCACCGAGTGGAAGAGCGAGGAGACGACGAAGAGCATGATGAGTGCAGCCCCGTACACCATGGCCGCAGCGTAATGGGCCGGGGTGTGGGCCTTCTGCACGAGCAGCTTGAAGGCGAACAGGCTGGGCAGGATGCTCAGCTGCGCATGGCCCACAACTCTCACTCCGCGACGCGCGACGGGGAAGCCGTCCCGCACAAAAATGGCCAGGTCAAGACCTGATGAACAATGCCATCGTCTACTGGGTGTCCCAAGGAGCGGCCGCAGATTGTGCTTTTTTTTTTTTAATTGCAAAGAGCGAATTTATTTGAGGAAAAAGTAAAGAAAGAAAAAGGCTTAGCTCCTATGGAAACGCAGCGACGCCACCGGTCTTCAAACAATACGGCACCGTTTCGCGCGGGAGACAAGAGATGGCGCAAGTGGTCGAGCCAACTGCCGGCAACGAACGAGCATACGACGCTGGAGTCGGCGTCTTTAGCAGACGATTTTTTCGACTCAAAATGGCGCGCGTTCAGCAGGCGGTGACAGTCGCAGAAACAAAAACAGGCGCGGTAACAACAAGGAACTGCAAAGCAGACGACATAAGTACCACGAAAAAAAAACAAAAAAAAAAACAAACAAAATAGCCCAACAAATTATTTTTTTTTAATCGATTATGTGTCCATTCAATGTGTTTTAGTAGTAAGGATGATAAAATAATGCATTGGCAACTGATATCAGAAAAGCTCGCGCCGCTTTTGAGTCGAAAATATCGTCGGCTAAAGACGCCGGCTCTCGGCGCCGTATGCTCGTTCGTTGGCGGCAGTTGGCGTCGCGACCGCTTGCGCTTTCTCTTGTCTCCCGTGCGAAACGGCGCCGTATTGTTTGAAGGCCGGTGGTTTCGCTGCGTTTCCATAATAGCTAAGGCTTTTTCTTTTTTTACTTTTTCCTCAGGTAAAATCGCTCTTTGAAAATTTTACAAACAAAAAAGTGCACCATCTGTTGGCAACGCTGCACAAAGTCGCAGCGCGATAGGTAGAAACAGAATTTCGCGGTCCATTTAAAGAACCTGGCCGCTCCTTGGGACATCCAGTAGATCTGGTATGGGGCTTGAAGAAAAAAAGGTCTAAATCAGAGCAAAATATATTTTTTTTTTGTCCGCTGGTTGTTTTGGAAGGAAATGTCAGATCAAAACCTGAAGAATATTGGGTCAAGTTTGGTTCTTAAATCCGGCGGGAACAAACATCAGGGCTTAACCATTCTGATGTTAGCCTGAGACTGAGGCAGGAAAAGAGGAAGTTTCAAAGTAGAAGAAAAAGGAACAGTCGAGGATACGTCTCTAACACAGCTAAAGACAAGTTTATTCGGTCACCCTCTTATATACACTCCACAACCTTCACCACAGAACCTTCGCGACCTCCAAAGCCAAAAGATAACAAAGAACTCATCTCTTTCCACCACAATAATCAAACGACCTTGACAATCCTACAAAGCCCCCTCACCAACACAACCTATCTCCTCTCTCCCGGAAGACGATCGACCTTCGCGTACAAAGCACACACTCCTCCTCTCCTCCCCGGCCCACAATCCCGAAACAACCCGGCAACAAAAGATACCAATCCACCTGATCCAAACCAAAGACACAAAGGAGGAAACCACTTACACCCTTTCACAAACAACAACCACTTAACAAAACTCTCAAATCCGCAAGAAGGTTTTTGCACTGCTGCTAAGCCGTAACGACACTTGACTAATGCAGTTGCCCATTGATTTCATTCTTATTGTTTCTTTTACAACCCTTTTGATGTCGTTTACTTCCCTGTGTATTATTTCTGTCTCGGACCAGCGTGGTATACAATTATTACATTCTTGAACATGTTTCGCTATTTCCGAATCAGTCGCGTTGTTTTTTACATTTCTTTTGTGTTCAGTCAATCTATCATTTATACACCTCGACGTTTGACCCACATACTTAAAACCACATTCTAGGGGAATTTCGTATACCACTCCATTATCACACGGAATAGACTTTTCTCGATGCATTTTTGTGCATTCCCTTACACTCTTGTGGAAGGGCGTGAGCTTACTCAATTTATAGTCGGAACTAAAAACCAGATCAACATCGAACTTTTTTGCACAAGCCTTCAAGTTGTGAGAAATTTTGTGATAGTACGGAATTACAGTAGTTCTATGTTTTGGCCTTTGCTTTGGTTCTGCTCTACATTTGTCTACAAATTTTACGGATAACTGTTTCCCTACGAATTCATCCTGATAACCAGCACTGTTTAGCCTTCTCCACTGCCTTTTCACTGATTCAGCCAAGAAATGAGTACATGATCTGTCCATTGCATTTGTGATTAAAGATTTGACAATACCTGCTTTGACTGTTTTTGAATGGCAACTGTTTTTTGATAGCAGCGGTTTTGCGTTTTCTTTTCCATATTCCCAACATACCCCTTTTTCATTGTGAATCATAAGCTCTAAAAACTGCAGTTTACCATTCGTGGGTCGTTCGACTGTAAACCTCAGTTCCGGGGCAGCCGATCTGATCAATGCTTCCAGAGTGTCAGACAATCCCTCCCGAAAAGAACAGATCAAAATGTCATCGACATATCTTTTCACAAAACAGGATTCGGACGTCAGTTCTTGCAACTTATCAGATACAATGCAATCCAAAGAATTTAGGTAAATTTCCGCTAACGCCGGTGCTACACTCGACCCAATGCATACTCCCTCTTTCTGTAAATACTTTTTTCCTTGATACTCTACTATTGTTGACTGCAAGTAATAATCAAGAACGGCAAGAAAGCTGTCCACCGATATGCCTGACCGCGATTGGAACCTTACCAAATTCATTTCAAGCACCCCTTTTACCCTTTCCAACAGACGACTCTTCTCTAATGAGTAATAAAGATCCTTGATGTCCATTGACAACATATCTCCTTCCTTTCCATGATGACCTTCGAGTACCGTGATCAACTCACTCGAATTTCTCAGTGACAAAGACTTATCTAGAATTGCATGATTTAAACCTTTTTGAAGAAACACGGAAACTGTATACCTTCTGCCAAGTGCCATTCTCATTGATCACCACTCTAAGTGGCATCTCCGGTTTATGATCCTTAATGAAGAACTTTACGCTCAACGCTGATTTCGACAGATTTACCATATGGTCTTTGCTACGTCCTTAAATTCGTCTTCCTCTAAAATTGAAACTATATTTTTCTTTAACTTTCCGATGTTTCCACCCCATTCTTGAAACAAAGATTCCATCGCTTCACCCGTTTTCGTTTGAAATGACGATTTTGAAAGAACCGCGAATCTACCGGATTTATCCGTTTGTAGCAATTGCAATGACCGATCCTCTAACTCTTTTCTAACCGAACTGAAGACACGAAAATCCCTTTTCTCATTTGGGTATCCAATGCCCATTACGTTTTCCATTCTGCCAACAGCCTGTTCAATAAACGCCGCTCTTTCCTCATGCCTGACTATTCTTGCAACCGACTGTATAGAAGAAAATACATCCACCCTTGACGGTTTTACATCAATACAAAACTTCGGTCCGTTTTCCAACACTGCTTGCGTCTTCCTTGATAACATTACGCCACCCGGATTGATAACAGAACCTCCACACATCCGATCGAAAAAACTAAAAACCCGTGAGTCTCTATTCCTTCCCTCCTGAGATTTCATCTTAATGCTATCCAGAACATGCCTTCGTTTGACATACCACATACGGTTGAAAACTGTCCTCCTGATGCTGTTCCAAATGATGTAGTCCCTGTGCCGCTTGAAATCACCTCCCACCAGGAGCTCCCAAAGTCTTTCGGAAGCGCTGCGCATTTCTTTGATCCGGTGACTTGAGGCTTCTCTGTACGCCTTGAGGATCCTCTTCTTGCCGCTCCATTGGCCCCCCGACGCTGACAGATGTTTGAATGCAGCTGGGTCCACGAACCTTTTTCGGAGGCAGATGCCGAAATATGCAACCTCGGCCTCCAGCTCCGCCAGTCGACGTCCCAGTCGGTCCAGTACTTCTACTGCTTGAGAAATCCAGGCGGTCGGTGTCGTTGATGATGCGGTTGTACATGAGAAGGGGACCAAGCCTGCTTCAGGTATAATCAATGATATTGTAGTGAGTGCGCAGGCGAGCTGGTGGAAATTAACCATTCTGATGTTAGCCTGAGACTGAGGCAGGAAAAGAGGAAGTTTCAAAGTAGAAGAAAAAGGAACAGTCGAGGATACGGGTGAAGCGATGGAATCTTTGTTTCAAGAATGGGGTGGAAACATCGGAAAGTTAAAGAAAAATATAGTTTCAATTTTAGAGGAAGACGAATTTAAGGACGTAGCAAAGACCATGGTAAATCTGTCGAAATCAGCGTTGAGCGTAAAGTTCTTCATTAAGGATCATAAACCGGAGATGCCACTTAGAGTGGTGATCAATGAGAATGGCACTTGGCAGAAGGTAGTTTCCGTGTTTCTTCAAAAAGGTTTAAATCATGCAATTCTAGATAAGTCTTTGTCACTGAGAAATTCGAGTGAGTTGATCACGGTACTCGAAGGTCATCATGGAAAGGAAGGAGATATGTTGTCAATGGACATCAAGGATCTTTATTACTCATTAGAGAAGAGTCGTCTGTTGGAAAGGGTAAAAGGGGTGCTTGAAATGAATTTGGTAAGGTTCCAATCGCGGTCAGGCATATCGGTGGACAGCTTTCTTGCCGTTCTTGATTATTACTTGCAGTCAACAATAGTAGAGTATCAAGGAAAAAAGTATTTACAGAAAGAGGGAGTATGCATTGGGTCGAGTGTAGCACCGGCGTTAGCGGAAATTTACCTAAATTCTTTGGATTGCATTGTATCTGATAAGTTGCAAGAACTGACGTCCGAATCCTGTTTTGTGAAAAGATATGTCGATGACATTTTGATCTGTTCTTTTCGGGAGGGATTGTCTGACACTCTGGAAGCATTGATCAGATCGGCTGCCCCGGAACTGAGGTTTACAGTCGAACGACCCACGAATGGTAAACTGCAGTTTTTAGAGCTTATGATTCACAATGAAAAAGGGGTATGTTGGGAATATGGAAAAGAAAACGCAAAACCGCTGCTATCAAAAAACAGTTGCCATTCAAAAACAGTCAAAGCAGGTATTGTCAAATCTT